AGGGGATAGAAGCCAGATCCCCTGCTCAGGAAAATTTTTCCAGATTGCTGGGTGAAGACGAGTTCATCTAGGTTCTGGGGTGGTACATCTATGAGATGCTTTCTAGCAGTCCAATGGAGACTGCATAAAAAAAAAAAAGACGCCTGCGAATAGTTCAGGAAGCTGTCCTCCGATACTGGTTCCGCAAACATTTGCCATTAATCCCCAAAATATTCCCCTTATCCAAGTTCTTAATCCCCATCAAAAATAAATAACAAAACCAAACGCTCAAGCACTGGTTTCTGTCTCTGCATGCAAGCTTGTGTGGAAAAAAGGTGCTGAATGACTGGCTGTGCAGGACAATAGGGGGACCCAAAAACCCATTATCAGCGATCCCTAAGGGGGTATCACCCTGCTACACACCATAATATAGTAAAATATAGGAAAAACAAATATATATAGGCCCTGATGCATAAAACTGGATTAAACACATATTGTCATGTAAACATTGTCACATCAATAATTTTTATCATTTGCTGCACTGTATAATACCACTTTATTAACCACAAAAATATTCATACATTTTAACACTTGGTATGTTACATCCTAATATTAACTGATTACAAAAAAAAAGGAAAATTCAGCTGTTGAAATTTCCACCTGGTACACAGGTCCGTGGTAAAGATGTTCCTTAAACTAAGGAAAATCCATTTTCACTTGTGACTCAAGCTATCTAAGCTACACTGTTCTAGTTTGCTCTGGCCATTTATCCTGCTAACATAGTCCTATATCATTTATCACAATAGCTGATATTGCTTATGATCCATGTAGCTTAGGTCCTTCAGTTCCCAGCCTTCTGTTAGGAGAAGCTCTAAGCCATGTTGTAGTTTGTTAGCTTTCTTATTCCCTGATGTGCTGATTCCAGCTTCTGTGATTATGCCTCCTGGGAGCTGTTTTTCTCTACAAACATTAACAGCACCACAAGTTGGTGAACCCATGGCTTGCCAAAAGCTTTCTCAGTTGTGTGTAGATATAGTTCAGCTTTGAAGTTCGCTGTGTGGTAGACAAGCTGAAGGACTATTTATATGGAGCTAAATTCCTTGTGAAGATGGATAATAATCCCCTGATCTATGTGCTCACCACAGCTAAACTAGATGCCATTGGACATCAGTTGCTGGCTGCCCTATCTGGATTATGTTTCAGCCTAAAGTACAGGCCTGGAGCAGGGAATAAGAATGAGGATGCTCTATCTAGAAGACCACAAGGCCGCCATACCACTAAGCCAAACTGGTTGCATGTATTTCCAGAGGAGGTACAGGCCATGAGTCAGGGAGCTGAGTACGTAGTCAAAGGGGAGGCCTATGCTGAAGAGGTGGAAGCCCGGAGTGCCTGCATCCTATCATATTATTGCAATGTGTTCCAGTTGAATGGTGAAGAATTACCACAGTTCACCACTAAGGATATGAAGGAGGCTCAGGATCCAGATTCCCTCTGTCAGCTTACAAGAAAAGCCCTTATGTGGGAGCAACCAGACCTACTTTGGTGGAAGATCCCCCGAGTGCTAAGGTTATCCATCAAGAGTGGGATAGTTTGGAGCTGAGGGATGGGGTGGTCTACAGTAGGGGCCCCTCAGACCGAACTGAAAATCTATGGCAGCTTTTGCCCACGAAGTTCAAGAAAATGGTGTTGAGGTCACTGCATACTGAGCATGGGCATGTAGGGCAGGAAAGAACCTACTTGCTGGTGAGAGACCAGTTCTGTTGGCCACGTATTAAATCTAAATTGGAGGAGTACTGTTGCACCTGTCTAAACTGTATTCAAAGGAAGACATTACCTAAACAAGCTGCTGCTTTGGGTTATCTTCAGAGCCAAGGACCAATGGAACTGGTGTGTGTTGATTTCTTGTGTCTGGAACCCGATTTTAGTGAACGGGGGGAATGTCTTAATAGTGACAAATCATTTCACTAGATATGCCCAGGCATTCCCCATGAAGAACTAGCAAGCATCCACTGTGTCGAAAGTATTAGTGGAGAAGTTTTTTGTACACTATAGGCTTCCACAGAGAATCCACTCAGATCAGGGTAGAGACTTTGAAAGCAGACTGATTAAGGAACTGCTGATCTTGTCAGGAATCAAGAAGTCCAGAACTACTATGTATCACCCTCAAGGTGATCCTCAACCAGAAAGATTCAACAGAACACTTCTGAACATGTTAGGCACCCTGCCGATGGAAAAGAAGCAACAGTGGAGTCAACACATTGCCGCAGTAGTGCATACTTACAATAGCACTGAGACTAATGCCTCAGGCTTTTCCCTCTATCGTCTGATGTTTGGATGGGAGGCCAATGTTGGGCAAAATGGGTAGCAGGGCACGTCAGTGGACGATGCTCTGGAAGTATGGCAGCCAATGATGGATGATGTATAGGAAAACCGGTACTGAGCAGCAATTCTAAAGAGTGGAAGCAAACTCTGTGCAGAAGAAGATGAAACAGGAAGGTGCTTCTAAGTGCAGTATTCCAAGGTCAACTTTTAATAAAAGCAGTTAAAAACACTTACAATGGTGGTAGTATAAAACAGGCTCTAATGTAACACATCCACCACCTCCTGCGCTCAGGGACTGAGATCAGAAGAAGACCAATCAAATAAAATGATAAATGTTCATCCAACACTGATCAAAGGTTATGCAGCTCTAACACGAAGCTGGGGAAGCTCAATATAAACTGTAGTAGAGAACAAAAAAAACAAAGCGCACCAACCTTGATAAATTATACTCAGAAAAGTAGCAGTAAAAAAGGCATATAGCACCAAAACCAACACAGGGTTAGAAGACATGTGCAAGTTCCATCCGGAAGGGAGATACACTCTTGGTCAAACTGATGTGTTTCGAAGGGGGGTCCCTTCTTCCTCAGAGCTAATCATACAGAGATATGCCACCCCTAAATATAATACTGCTCTATCAGTGGACCTGCCCTAATGGGCGGGATGGCCTCATTATAGGGGGTGGGGCTAAACATTTCACAACAATTGTTAACTTACATAGCATACAAAGCATAGATAAAAAACACAATAAGATTACAAATAGAAACGGATAAAAGCAAAAAGATGATACCATTATTTGCATAAACGATACATTGTGAATAGAATAAAAGTGTCATTGATTAAAAGTTAAAATACTAGGTGGGAAATAAAATCAAGACAAGAAAGGATACTTCAGTCCATATTAAACATGAAAGCTAATGAAATGGACAAAAAGTGACCAAAAAGAGACAAATAGCCCTAATTAAAGTTTTACCTTAGGACCTAAATCACTTGCAACAATGATCTATACTGAAAATCTGTTTTCAATGCTCCAGTGATAATTGGCGGCCTCACTGTTCTCTATTCATTTCTTATTTTCGGGAGGCATTCTGCCACTAAGTGTCAGTGTCTATGTCAGTTTTGCAAACATTGGTGGTGAAAAGGGGAATTAATACTGCAGAGAGCCTGCAGGTGGCAGTGGAACGCACTCCGGCATCTAGAGCAATAGTGCGCATGCGCCGTGCGCTCCAGCGGCCATTTTGGTGAAGGGTACCCTGCATGAAAGCAGTCCGAACCTGCATCTGCGCACTCACTATCGAAACCATTTGTGTGATCCGAGACATGCGGTGAAAGGGGGATTGATACTGCAGAAAGTTTGCAAGTGGCGGTGGAACACACGCCAGCATCTAGAGCACTAGTGCACATGCGCCGTGCGCTCATGTGGCCATTTAGGTGAAGGGCACCCTGCAGGAAAGCAGTCTGAACCTGCGTACTCGCTATCGACGCCATTTGTGTGATTCGAAACATGCAGAGGAAAGAGAACACACGGCTCCATATAGCCCCCACAATTACACGATCAGGCCGAAAGGACATGGCGTCAAAGGCCTGCAAAAACTGTGTGTGTGTTGTGTGATAAATACCACAAATGGAGCTATTGAATCATATATATTAAATCAATAAAAATACTTAAAAATATATGTTAAAAATCATTTTAAAATAATAATATTAAATGTAATAAAAACCACCAAAGTGTGCTTGCAAGTCTTAATTAATCAATTCAGTACTTAATAGAAACCGAATTAGAACCCCTCAATAAAAAGCGAAGAAGAACTGGAACTCCTCAACAGAAAATATATATATATATATATATATATATATATATATATATATATATATATATATATATTTCATTAAGAGAGAGAGATAAATAATAATGAGGGTTTATCTCTCTCTCTCTTCTAATTTGGTTTCTATTAAGTATCCCTATAGAGTATTAAATTAATTAATTAATACTGTTTCAGTCTTTGCAGATGACACCAAGCTTTGCAGTTAATTAACATTCTTACAGGATGTCTCCAATTTACAAGCCAACCTCAATGCTCTCTTTAATTGGGCAACTATGTGGCAAATGAGGTTTAATGTTGATTTATATTGTAAAGCTCTGAGCAAACTGTTGGTGCTATATAAATCCTGTATAATAATAATAAATGTAAAGTTATGCAGTTGGGGGCTAAGAATATGCATCATACATACTAGGGGGATTACAACTGGGGGGAATCAACGATGGAGAAGGATCTGGAAGTTCTGGTAGATCATAAGCTTAATAATAGTATTCAATTCATATTAAAAGAGGTAAAAGAGAGAGAGATATCATTTTACCCATGTACAAATTATTAGTAAGACCTCATCTGGAATATACAGTTCAGTTTTGGGCACCAATTCACAAAAAGAACATTGGGGAACTGGAGAAAGTGCAGAGAAGAGCAACCAAACTGATAAAAGCCACGGAGGAGCTCAGATATGAGGAAAGATAAGAGGAACTGAATTTATTCTTTTTTGAGAAGAGGAGATTAAGGGGGGATATGATCAACATTAGAGATGAGCGAATTATTCAAAAATTCGATTCGGCTGATTCGCCAATTTGCGGAATAAATTCGATTCGATGCAAATTTATTCGCCGTGAATTTAATTTATTAAAAGGGTTTCTAGGCTTCAGAGAGCCTTTATATTAGTGCAGAACACTGTACCTTTAATTTAAATGCCCTTGGAGTCTGCTGGGGAAGAGAAATAATACTGTCAGTCAGTATGACATGCAGATGAGTGCCGTCGATCTTAGAATCACCGCACACTTCACTCATTTGGGCAGTCACGGGGCACTACGAAGAAGATGAAGAAGAAGATGAAGAAGAAGAAGAAGATGAAGAAGAAGAAGATGAAGAAGAAGATGAAGAAGAAGAAGAAGAAGATGAAGAAGATGATGAAGAAGATGATGATGAAGAAGATGATGAAGAAGAAGATGATGAAGAAGAAGATGAAGAAGAAGATGATGAAGAAGAAGATGATGAAGAAGAAGAAGATGAAGAAGAAGAAGAGATGAAGAAGAAGAAGAAGAAGAGGATGAGGATGAGAGAAGAAGAAGATGAGGATGAAGAAGAAGAAGAAGAAGAGGATGAAGAAGAAGAAGAAGAGAGGATGAGGAAGAGGAAGAAGAGGATGAGAAGAAGAAGAAGATGAGGATGAAGAAGAAGAAGCAGATGAAGAAGAAGATGATGATGAAACGAATTTATTCGCTGCGAATTTAACTTATTAAAATGGTTTCTAGGCTTCAGAGAGCCTTTATATTAGTGCAGAACACTGTACCTTTAATTTAAATGCCCTTGGAGTCTGCTGGGGAAGAGAAATAATACTGTCAGTCAGTATGACATGCAGATGAGTGCCGTCGATCTTAGAATCACCGCACACTTCACTCATTTGGGCAGTCACGGGGCACGACGAAGAAGAAAGAAGAAGAAGATGAAGAAGAAGAAGAAGATGAAGAAGAAGAAGAAGATGAAGAAGAAGATGAAGAAGATGAAGAAGAAGAAGATGATGAAGAAGATGATGACGAAGAAGATGATGAAGAAGAAAGAAGAAAGAAGAGGATGAGGAAGAAGAAGAAGAGAAGAGGATGATGAGGATGATGAAGAAGAGGAATGAAGAAGAAGAAGAAGATGAGGATGAAGAAAAAGAAGAAGAAGAAGAAGAGGATGAGGAAGAGGAAGAAGAGGATGAGGATGAAGAAGAAGATGATGAAGAAGATGAAGAATGATGATGAAATGAAGATGATGATGATGAAGAAGATGAAAGAAGAAGAAGATGAAGAAGAAGAAGATGAAGTGGAAGAAGAAGAAGATGAAGAAGAAGAAGAAGAAGATGGAAGAGGATGAAGAAGAAGAAGAGGATGAGGATGAAGAAGAAGAAGAAGAAGAAGAAGAAGATGATGGATGAAGAAAAAAGAAGAAGAAGAAGATGAAGAAGAAGATGATGAAGAAGATGATGATGAAGAAGATGATGATGAAGAAGATGATGAAGATGATGAAGAAGAAGAAGAAGAAGAAGAAGAAGAAGAAGATGATGAAGAAGAAGAAGAAGAAGAAGATGAGGATGAAGAAGAAGAAGATGAGGATGAAGAAGAAGAAGAAGAGGAAGAAGATGAGGATGAAGAAGAAGAAGAAGAAGATGAGGATGAAGAAGAAGAAGAAATGCAAAACGCGGCAAAATGCACTACCGTGCATTTCAGCAGCTTCTCCATTGAACTCTGTTATAGCAAAAAAGCTGCTCTTTGCTTTTAAAAAAGTCCCTGACACTTTCCAAAAACACAGCAGCTCAAAAAGCATAGATGTGGACATGTTCCATAGGAAAGCATGTTAAATGGACTGTAGTGTGTTTCTGCAAAAAGCACTTAAAATGCATTGGTATGAACGGAGCCTTACTGACCAGCATGCCGGTTAATTTCTTTTACAGTATATATTTACCCTACCAACGTGGCTTCAACAAATGAAAACTATGATTTCATTATTTGAATCCCAGGTGCTATTTGACAGCTGAACTGTTGTAGAAGTTATGTGTCCAAAAACTATTCTAAAATGGCTGCTAGTCTCAGTGGATTGGGTGGGTTGCAGTGATGTTTAATGCTTTAACCACTGCCTTCAGTGACAACTGCAGTGCAGAATTAAACACTCCTGGGCTTGTGTTTGTTTTAAAAAAGCAACCTATTTCTTTTGCATTGCAATTATTTTCAGTGATATGTCCAGATAACATTGAAGATTCTGTTATACAGAATTTCTGTCGTTGGCAGACTGTACTCTCTATTAAATTATGTTGTGTACCACCGCTACTGATAAATCTGCCTTTTCAAAATCATAGTTTATTGTGAATTAATAAGTGGGATTTAAAAAATAAATGTGTAATGTACTTCAATCTACAGAAATCAGTTAGAATTCATCTACAGTGAATATAAAAAGTCTACACATCCCTGTTAAAATGTCAGGTTTCTGTGATGTAAAAAATGAGACAAAGATAAATCAGTTTTGAATTTTTCCACATTTAACGTAACCTATAAACTGTACAACTCAGGTGAACAACAAACTGAAATCTTTTAGGTGGAGGGAAGTAAAAATAAAAAACTAAAATAATATGGTTGCATAAGTGTGCACACCTTTAAACTAATACTTTCTTGAAGCACCTTTTGTTTTTTTTTTTACAGTACTTTGGGTATTAGTCTATCAGCATGGCACATCTTGACTTGGCAATATTTGCCCATTCTTCCTTGCAAAAATCTTACTCTAAATCTGTCAGATTGCGACGGCATCTCCTGTACACAGCCCTCTTCAGATCACCCCACAGATTTTTGATCGGATTCAGGTCTGGGCTCTGGCTGGGCCATTCCAAAACTTTAATTATCTTCTGGTGAAGCCATTCCTTTGTTGATTTGGATATATGCTTTGGGTCGTTGTCATGCTGAAAGATTAAGTTCTTCTTCATGTCCAGCTTTCTAGCAGAAGCCTGAAGGTTTTTTGCCAATAATGACTGGTATTTGGAACTGTTCATAATTCCTTCTATCTTGAATAAGGCCCCAGTTCCAGATGAAGAAAAACAGCCCCAAAGCATGATGCTGCCACCACCATGCATCACTGTGGGTATGGTGGTGTTCTTTTGGTGCTGTGAAGTGTTATTTTTGCACCAGACATATCTTTTGGAATTATCGCTAAAAAGTTCAACCTTGATTTCATCAGACCATAACACATTTTCCCACATGCTTTTGGGAGGCTTCAGATGTGTTTTTTTGCAAAATTTAGCCGGGCTTGGATGTTCTTCTTTGTAAGAAAAGGCTTCCGTCTTGCTACTCTAACCCATAGCCCAGACATATGAAGAATACGGGAGATTGTTGTCACATATACCACACAGCCAGTACTTGCCAGATATTCCTACAGCTCCTTTAATGTTGCTGTAGGCCTCTTGGCAGCATCCCATACCAGTTTTTTTCTCGTCTTTTCATCAATTTTGGAGGGACATCCAGTTCTTGGTAATGTTACTGTTGAGCCATATTTTTCCTACTTAATGACTGTCTTCACTGTGTTCCATGGTATATCTTATGCCTTGGAAATTCTTTTGTACCCTTCTCCTGACTGTTACCTTTTAACATTGAGATCCCTCTGATGCTTTGGAAGCTGTCTGTGGACCATGGCTTTTGCTGTGGGATGCAACTAAGATAATGTCAGGAAAGACCTACTAGAACAGCTGAACTTTATTTGGGGTTAATCAGAGGCACTTTAAATGATGGCAGGTGTGTACTGACTCCTATTTAACATGATTTTGAATGTGATTGCTTAATTCTGAACACAGCTACATCCCCAGTTATCAGAGGGTGTGCACACTTATGCAACTACATTTTTTTCGTTTTTTTATGTTTACTTTCCCCCCTAAAAGATTTCCATTTGTTTTTCAATTGAGTTGTACAGTTTATAGGTCACATTAAAGATGAAAAAAGTTCTGAAATGATTTATCTTTGTCTCATTTTTTTACATCACTGATTTATCTTTGCCTCATTTTTTTTTACATCACATAAACCTGACATTTTAACAGAGGTGTGTAAACTTTTTATATCCACTGCAAGTTGCCTGACTACAGTACTCTTGTTTCATTTCTTGTATTTTGTTTCTCTCTTGCTTTACCTCTTCTCACACACTCATCTCTCCATGCTCTCTTCTTCAGGTTATCTTAAAAGTATATATTCTGACTACTTGTCAGGTAATCCTTCTTTCCCCCAACTTCTCATTTAGTTGCATTCCACATCATATGTCTCTCTAGATGTTCCCTTTTTATGTATGGTATATTGTACCTTTTAAATTTGTCTTTCTTGTTCACCTGATATAGAACCTACAAGGGAGCTGAACACTGTTGCTGAGGAAGATGAAGCTTTCATTTCCACAAGTAGGTCTTGCAGAAAAGCATTTCATATTACCCTGTCTTTTTATCAATATAGTTTCAGCATATTCTTCATTCATTTTCTAACTTTTGGTAATTTGCTTCAATTACTTCTACATTTTCTATTAATTTCCTGTTTCCATCTTCTTTTTAGAAAACGCTGTCTCTTCTCAAGCATCTTCAAAATCTCCTTTTACTAGTCCCCCACCAGTTCCTCCATTTCCTCCACTAATTAATAGTAAAGCTAAATCTCACAAGAATTTTCTTCTTGCAGCCAAAAAAGAGAGCATTAAACATTTACTTGCTGATCAGAATACCCATCATAGCAATCAGAATGGAAATCAACTACTAAGAAAATCTGTGGAGCCCAGTGATGAAAAAGCAACCGTACCAAGCCACAATCAAACGTGAGTAATCAGTTGTATATTAACATTTCATTATAATATCCCATCTGCTTTCCATTTCCTATAGTCATTTAAAGAGATTAATTTCTGGTACTACCTCCAGTAGATAAAGCATCCACCCCCACCACTTCCTGCTACAGCTTCATGCAGACATTGGATCATTATGGCAACCAACTGGCAGATTAAGACCATTTTTACCAAGGCACGTGATATGTACCATGACCAGTGCCAAGCAAAGAAAGGGACATCTGGGACCAAAGACCTTCCTGCATCTCCTGGCGAGAACAACAGGGAGCTGGCCAGTGTCAGGTCTCTCCATACCACTGCAATCTTTGGTCATCTCACATTCATCCCTAGTTAAAGCATCGCCCTCCCCCCCACCCACTATGATACCTCCCTCTCCCCCAACCCACCCCAAAATCACAACATCTTCCTTCCATACCTTGCCTATGACTCACAGCACTTTCTAACCACCTTGCCCCCCAAGTTATATCTCCTTCTCACCCATCACACCCTGCATCTTGCTGTGTCTCCCTCCGTCCCACCTCTCCCCCTGACACACAGCTTCATACTCTCACTCACCTTGCCTGTTGATTACAATGCCTTTTTCCCATCCACCATGCCCACAAGTTGCAATGTCTTCCTGTCCTCCCCCCATGTGCGGCGTCTCCCACCCACCTACCCCACCTCCCTTTTTAGACTGTTTCGCTGTGCTGCTACCTGGTCACAGCCCCTAATACCCATCCCACACTACAGCACCTCCTTATCAAACAATTACGTTTTTTTACCTTAACTCATTCTCTGTATTAAGGTAAAAAACCTTGCACTGCGTGTTAGTCCCCCTCCCCCTTCCTAAAACATTTGCCTGACTCTTCTATCAAACCAGAGTTGTTCTGGTACATTAGTTCTTCTCTCCCCTCTTCCTGGTCTCACAGGCTTTGCTGAGAGCAGTGGGAGTCATTGGCTTCTGGTGCTGTCAATGAAATCCAGTGCGGAAGTAGTGGGACTGAGCTGCACTCTGTGTGTCTATGGACGCACACAGCCAAGCTTGGGAGTGCCCCAATGCACGTGTCCCCATAGCAAGCTTTGCTTCCTTTACAATCGCTTTAGTCACTTACTTACAATTATCAGCCTGCTGTAAGTGTTCCTTCAGGTGGCTTACAGGCTGCCTATCAGATCAATCAGGTAGGCAGCCAAATGGCTACTTACCTAAAACATAATTAGATAATTCAGATACTGGTGATGAATAAAATGGAGTTCTGAAAAAAAGAAATGTTTCTGATGTAAAGCTTTTTACCCAAGTAGCTGCAGCTGGATATAAAACACTGAGAGGTTTGGCTGCTTAGACTTCAAGTTGTCTTGATCACAAACTGCAAAGGCAGGCATTTTTTTGTTAATTTCTCGCTCAGTCAGTTTGCTACCTCTCTAATTTGGTACAGCCACATAAGAGCCACAGTTGCTTGCTCAAGGCTAATGGCTTTACTTCCAGCAAGTGAACATCTCTAAAGGCCTTCTAGAAGGAGAGACTTCTGCTGCATACAGGCCCTTAAAGACTAAGCCCAGGGGAGACAGACAGCTTAACACCTTCCTCCTAGGCCTGCCAACCCATGTGATTGCATTTTGTCACAGGAGCCTCCCCAAAATTTGTCAGCCTAATAGTGGCTGCATCCAGTCAGATACAACCTCTGTCTGGGTACTTTGACAGCCAAAGGGGACCAGCGGTCAAAATGCATTAGCAGCAGTGGGAGATTCATTTATCCATGCTTTGTAGTGTGGATGGAAGAATCTGTTTTTTTCCCGATACGCTGAACAAAAAAAATAACTCCTTGTTTGGCCAGCATAACCCTTGAATCACGGCCTGCTGGAGCATATGTTCAACAGCATTTGCCTGAAGAAGTAACAATGCTTAGGTACACTCAGCTAGAAGGAAACAATTGAATCTGGCTGCACACTTAGGGCTTCTTGCACATCAAATAAAGTGTAAAATTAATCTCTGTAAAATTACATTGATTTTAGAAAACAAATGTAGTCCTAAAACATGCACAAACATGATGGACTTTATATATGAACATTATTAAAACAGGAACTCTCTGTGTTGAGCAAAGCCACTCCTTATCATTGTCTTGCCTACTATTCTCTTCTATATCAGAAAAAAGGGAAATTCTGATGTCATATTTTCAGATGTTTGGTGTGAACAATACAGTTATTTCTTCCTTCATGCTCCTTTGTGTATGAGAGTTATTTGTATTACAGAGTTACTTAGTACTACAGCATAGTATTATATATGTTTTATCTTTTTTTATTTGTCTTAGGTATAACGAGGTATGGAAGACCCGGAGTTCAGCCCTGAGCATATGAAACTACTCAATGAAAGGGCCACAAAACTACATATGTCAGCTCCTAGGGATGGGTACAGGGAGAACAGGGAGGATTTGCATAAAGCAGAATGCCTACAAGATATACAGCCAGAAAAAATTTATATTCCTGAAGTTGCAGTAAGAAAAAGCAATAGTCAGATTAAGAGTGTAGTACAAAGTAATATATCAACAAAAGATGAAACATTCCTTAAGGCACCAGTTATTCCAAGTAGAGTTAGTACAGGGCAGGTAACACAGCACACACATCAAGCAATTAGAAAAGAGACGGATGCAGTCTCTGAGTTGGTGCTGGAAAGAGAGATTGCACAAAAGGCATCTTTCAGTAGAGATGCAACACATCATGATGTAAATCAAGTTCAAGAGGCATCACCCAAGGCTAATGAGAATTTAGCTGAAATGTATCAAATGCCTGAGATTACAGTCAGATCAGTACAAAAGGAGCAGGACTCTAAAAATGTGCAAGAGACAGCTTGCAAGTCAGCTGGTGGTTTGAAAATGTTATGCAAGACACAAAATTCACCCAAGGCAAGCAATTTTGAGCATGCAAAGGGAATCCATGGAATAGATCACATTACAGAAAAGAGAGTACAGAAAGCTGCAGTACCACAGTCAGAAAATCTAAAAAGTAAACTCTCTACAAAAACTGAACAGGCTATACTGAAGCCAGAAATCCTACAAGAGCTTGCACTAAATGCAGAAAAAAGTGTAGTAAAAATAGATAGTATTGAAAGCAGAGCATCTGAAGTAAAATATATTGCTGAAGAAACATTAGTGAAAGATAGTGGGGTTGATGTCATGACAGAAAGCATTCTACAGGGGACACAAAACACATGTTTAGTTGGAGATACTACAGAATGGGAACAGGTAATACAAGAATCTGCACACAAAATTTGTCACAGTGGGAGTGAACCAGAAGTGGTAAAAGAAGAGAGCAATCTAAACTTGTGTAATGCTCAACAAGTAACACTGCAGCACACACTGCTTGTTTCAAATGTCACTCTAAAAGAGACAACACTTATTAACAGAGAGGAAGAGGCAGGCACCAATATTGCACATAATCAGTTAGAAAATGTACCAGGAGAATTAATCAATATAGATAGACAACACAGACAAGAGCAGTATAAGGCAGAAAAAGGAGAGGTTGGAGAGGATTGGGCTGATCATCAGATAACCAAAAAAAATGGATGACTCAAAAGATTCTCAATTCAAAGAAAAGGAGGAAGAGGGAGAACAGTATCCAATGACCATAGAAAGCAACAGAGCCAAAGGGTTATCAGTGGAAATATCTGAAGAGAAACATGAAAAGACTAACAAGAAAGTGGAAACTCCAAGAATCAAGGCTGAAGATACTGTGCAGGGAGAAAGAAAAATCCATCAGAGTACAGACAGAGATGAAAACAAAGTGAGTGAACATGAAAAGACAGAAGAGATTACAACATCAGGACATGAAAGTTTGTACAATGCAGCAGTTGTAGATAAAAGTCTGCAAAGTTCATCACTGACCACAGATAAAAGAGGGAATGGCAGAGGCAGTGATTCTAAATATATGTTAGAAGCTGTACATGAAGGAATAAATAGAGACATTCAGGATAGGGTTAATATAAAACCAAAGGAACTAATTAATGCTGATGAAAAGAGTATGCTTAAAACAAAAGGTATACAAGAACAAATAAACCATAAAAAAGAGATGCACTCCATAGATGTAACAGAAAATAGAATGCATGGGTTAGAAAAGCTAGAAAGTATTGCCAGTGACACAGAAGACATAACAGATATAAAAGGGAAAGATGTATTGGTTATGGATAAGGAGCAGGGGCAAAAGGAATTAAATGAAGTGGCCAATGAGCAAAAAGAACATTTGCCAACAGAGTATGATATTCTGAGAAAGAATAAATATCAAGAGCAAACATCTGAATTTGAAAAAGCTATACATCGAGATGGTGATAAAGATACATTTCTATCACCGAGTGGAAAGTTGGTTAACATAAACGCATGTGTTGAAAAGAATCATAGTTTGGCAGAAAAATGTTTTTTGGAAAATGAAATTCTACAAGATGAACCTTCACAGGTTGAAGAAATAGTAGAACAAGAAGCAGATGGGGAATCCCATGATAAAAGTGCCCAAATTACAAATCAAACACGTGGAAAAGAAGAAACATCTCTTCAGACTAAAAGCAAATCATTTAAACAACTTTTCATATCTGAAGAAGCAGTAGATCAAGATAAGCTCAATTCTCCCTGGATCAACAAGAAAGTGGATGAAGAAGGAGCTACAATTGGAAAAGCAGGAGAACAAAAACATATATGTCTTTGGGGAGAAAACAGATTACTTGAAGAACAAATCAGAATGGAACAAATGCAAAATTTAGAACATTCAGATGGGATAAATAAGAAATGCCTAGTGAAAACAGATAATTCTGCCACCGAAGTGAATGTAAACACATATGTGGTAGAGGACAAAGTAGATAAAAACATAGATGATAAATATAAGGAGCATCAAGCAACAGAGGGAAGAGTTGATCCAATAGTAGTGATAGAAGAAAAAGGGGCTGAGTTAGTACTTGCTGTGGATATTAAAGATATAGTAACCAAAGACAATGAGCAGACAAATCTGAAAGAGTTAGTCAAAGAGGATATAGTTCTCAAAGATGATACTCAAGACATATCAAGTAAAAACGAAGAGGGAACACAGGAGAACATAAATGTAGAAGAAACAAAAGCCCTGACAGAAGAGAGAGTAGACATATCTACTCTAGTAACAACAGCAGAGCAGGAAGCACAGGATGACATATATTTGGAAGAAATAGTACTCCATAGGGAAAATAGAGAGCAAACAGAAAACAAACATGAAAAACCAAAATCACACCTGGTAGAGGAGAAAATGAACCTCCAACAAACTACTTTACAGATTAGACTTCAGGACACTATCGAAAATGTATTACAAACAGATAATAGATTGAGTGTGAATGTTTTTAACAATACATTATCACTTGGGCCAGCTGAAACAAAGCAAAATATTGAGGAGGCTGTGCATAGGGTAGAGAAAAAACAGGAGGCTCTGGCAAAAACTGAAGAGCAAGTACTGGAGATTATGCAACATGGGAATGCAGATGTGATTGAAAAAAGAGACCTGGATATTCTGTCAGTGTCTGAGTTTAACTTGCAAGACAATGAACCACAATGGACACTAGCAAAAAGTATAGAACAACAAGAGACAAGTTTAAGGAATACAGCAAATGAACAGGCAGAGCATGTAGACCAAACTAACAATGTGTTACAGGTAGTGTCACAGCCAGAGACGTTGCCTTCCTCAGATTGCAGAGAACCAATAAACCAAGACACTGAAACTACTGTCTGTCCTGTTGTTGAGACTTTTCTTCCATATTCTTTGAATAACCTAACCTCTGAGGCTGAGAAAACCAAAACCGATATCTTGTCAGAATGCAAATTTTCAATTACCCCTACATCAATCCCCGGACAACAGAGAAGCGCAGAAAAGAAGAGACTGAACGAGTACTCAGGGAATGTGGGGGAGGTATGTGATAGTCTATGACCAAGATGAGGAAGAGACACTCTGCATGGGATGTGGTCAATATAGTAATCCCCTGCATGGGGAGGAAGGAAATTCTGCATGGCTGGAGATGTATATTGTATCATAGTATAGGAGAGACATTTACTGGGATGATACTCTGCAGTTGAATGCATTATATAAAATCTTAGTTGAAATCTAAAGAAAATTAGAAGGCTAAAAAAATTAATGTTTCTTAATTTTACATTATGGAACACAGAATGAGTATTCAGTGACATTGGCTTATGTTGCAGACAGACACAACAGACATTTTCTCTCCTGTGAGAGAAGCAAGCTAATTCCTACGTTTTATAAAGATATTTTTTCTTCTAGCAAGATTCTTCAGTTGCTGCAGAGCCACTGGGTCTCATTTTGCAAATTCCAGATCAGCCAGCACTCAGGCCTTGTCTGTGTCACCGACAATCCATTGGAGCACAACAGATATTTGAAGTGGACCTTAGGGGCTAATACTTTTCCAAGGGTCCCTTGTTGGTATGCTCTTCTGAGTGCAGGTCTTTGAACTTCTTCATTAGCCAGCGTGTGATGATGGCACTCCTGTGCGTGTGCAGGAGGCCATCATCCAGGTACTCAGAGACCAGCCTAGCACTGTAAGCTGAGCTGCACTTGCGCAGTTGTTTGTAGTGCAGGAGAACACAGCAAGTAGGCAGGTAGGGACATTTCATTGCATGTCTCTTCTGCATTAAAATCCTGCCTGCTCACTGTTTTTACAGTAGAGCTTCAGTTCTGCTTTAACTTTGTCGTATGCACCTACTGAGGGCTGTGAAACTACTTTATGGCACCACATCATTTTTTAACCACTTGCCTACCAGGCACTTATACCCCCTTCCTTACCAGGCCAATTTTCAGCTTTCAGCGCTGTCCAACTTGGAATGACAATTGTGCAGTCATGCAACATATGTACTGATATGAAATTTTTATCATTTTTTTCTCACAAATAGAGCTTTCTTTTGGTGGTATTTACTAGCCACTGGGTGTTTTATTTTTTGCGCTATAAACGAAAAAAGAGCAAAAAATGTGAAAAAAAAAAGTTTCTTTGTTTCTATTATAAAATTTTGCAAACAGGCAATTTTTCTCCTTCACTGATGTGCACTGATGAGGTTGCACTAATAGGCAGCACTCTGCCTTTTGTCAGACCTTGTCCAAGATTTCCTTCCCCTTAGACAAATTCCAGTTCTCCATTCTCACATTTGGACTCTGCAGTCCAAAAGCCACCTGATTCTCTGTTTTTGCATGAAGATTTTGGTCCTAATAGTGTCCTCCTTCAAGGCAGTTCCACATGCACAGTTTCACATGAGACCATTGCAACTCAACATTTTGGTTGTGTAGGACAAGAAAGAGCAGTCTCTGGATTGTCCCATACACCTGACTGGCAGGACTAGGTATTCCCTGGCATGGTGAGTCACAGGTACAATGTTGGAATTGGGGAAGTCCTGTTGGGCTGGGTAGGAGTTTTGGGTACCCTTTCTGTATAGGGGACTTCATCAGAGGAAGCTCAGTTCCCAGTAAATAGTCTGGAACTCAATGTGATTCCATGTTCCATTTAATGCTGGACCTGTCATCTGTGAGGTTATCCATTAAAGATGCAGTGAAGCAATATCATGGCAGTAGCTTACAGAAGCCATCAGGGAGGAACCAGAAGTATCACATTTCAAAGTGAAACGTATTTGATTCTGGCTAGGGCAGGACTTCACTTTACAGCCCTGTCTGCCATGCACAAACTAAATGTGGAAAATTGGCTAACAGACTACTTTAGTAATTAATGTCTGGACTCTGTGGTCTCTTCACTTAAAGTGGTTGTAAAGACTGCAGGTTTTTTACCTTCATGCATTCTATGCATGAAGGTAAAAAACCTTCTGTGTGCAGCAGCTCCCCCAGCCCCCTCAATACTTATCTGAGCCTCATCATGATCCAACGATGTGAATAACAGCCTTGGCTGTCCCCAGTCTCTGCCTCCTCATTGGCTGAGAAAGCAAATGGGAGCCATTGGCTCCTACTGCTGTCAATCACAGCCAGTCAACCAATGAGCAGAAAGGGGGAGGGGCAAAGTCACAGCTCCATGTGTGAATGGATACACGAAGCAGTGGGTGCCCCCATAGCAAGTTGTTTGCTGTGGGGGCATCCGACAGACAGGGGGAGCCAGGAGAGCCTGCAGGGGACCCAGAAGAGGAGGATCCAGGCTGCTCTATGCAAAACCACTGCACACAGTAGGTAAGTATAGACATATTAGTTATTTTACAAAAAAAAAGAACCTTTAGAATCGCTTTAAGGTTTTCAAAGACCTACAGTATTTTGCAGGTGAGGGACTCCAGATATGGATCTCCTATCTTCAAGATTCAACAACAAACTATGCAGGTTTGTTTCTGGATCCAGGGATCATCTAACCTTTGCAGTGGTGACTCTGTAGGATCAGTTCCATCTGCATTGCTTCTTTCCTCCTCTAACGCTCTTTCCTCACCTTATCAGGATTGAGAGGAGGGCATTCCAGTGATTCTTATCACACCGAACTTGCCAAGGAGAATAAAGTACCTGGATATCTTCAAGATCCTTGTAGACTCTGCATGGGCCCTCCTCAATCATTCTGCTGATCTTTGCTAGGGACTGGTTTACCACCCTGATTCTTGAATGCTGCCTTAGCTGTTGGAATTGTCACACCTACACTGATAGAATGCTAGAAAATCAGCTTCTCAAAAGGTCTACTATTACACTTGGAAAGTGTATTTCTATTGGTGCAAGATAAAGAAATACAATCCTAAGAAACTCTCCATGGGATTAATCCTGTCTTTTCTCCAGTCTTATATAGACTAGGGTTTGGCCATGAGTGCCAATCATGGGTCAAATATCAGACTTTCATGCAATATCAACTGGTGCAAACAGATGATGTCACCGAATGGTGATTCTCAGTGACTAAATAGTTCAATAGGGTATGATAAAATCGTGCGGATCCTGAAGGATCACAATGCCAGGTGTGTGGATATCCTGATCCGGGAGTGATAGATGGTGTGCTTCAAATGAATGAAATACACACTCACCAGAAGTGCGTTTATAACACGCAATATGAAATCCTGCGTTTCCAAACAATTAGTGGATCATCTGTTCTCAGGTCAGATCATACATCAGATAACCAGGTAATCAAATAAAATGTACTGACCATATGTACCCTATGACTACGTGCATCGCACGAAACGCGCCGGGGCTACAGCAACCGGACATCTGACCACCGCTGGTGGCCACTTTAAACATACGGTCAGTACATTTTATTTGATTACCTGTAACACTCATTGAACTGGAATAAAGGTACTTTATACAGTATCACACTATGTGGTCTCTTATTGGGCACTCTGTGTGAGTGCCTTCATTTGCAGTGCCCATTCTAAAAGAGATGACCCAAGATGCCGATACGCACCAAAGGACCGTGATACCTCTATGCTGATGTGTCCAGATGGTTATCTGATGTATCTATCACTCCCGGATCTGGATATCCACACACCTGGCATTGTGATCCTTCAGGATCTGCACGATTTTACCATACCCTATTGAACTATTTAGTCACTGAGAATCACCATTCGGTGACATCATCTGTTTGCACCAGTTGATATTGCATGAAAGTGTGTATACCATAAGGGTTTATCATTACTCAGCGCTGCACCTGTCTGTTTTGATTCATATATTTCTGGAGGTTTTCTGGTTACCTTTATCTTGGTGTTTCAGCGGCGAGTGTATTTATTTCTTTTACTCCTATGGTAGCGCTTACTAAACATTCCTTTTCTACATGGGTCAAATATCAGCCTTAGCAAATCTTTTTTCAGAAACTGGTAGCTTCTTGCTCCTTAGTGAAGGCCTTCATACATGGGGTTTGCTCACATTTTTCTTCCTGTTAGTACCCAAGTGACTCTGTGGGATATCAATGTAGTTCTGTCAGCTCTTCAAAGACCACGCTTTTAACCTATTAGGGGATATTTCTTTGATTGTCCTTATTCACAAGGTTGTGTTCCTCGTCACTATTACCTTTGTAAAGCAAGTTGCAGAGTTGGCAGCTTAACCTGTAAAAAAAAAAACTTTTTTTGTGCTTTACAAAGTCAAAGTTATTTGGAGGCCCAAGTGGTATCTTCCTTTTCTTTTCACAGGACATTGTCCTATCATTCTTCTGTCCTGATTAAAAATCTTAAGGAGATTTCCTTGTATTATCTGCATGTGGTACATGCTGTTTTCTATAACTAAGGCCCCTTTCGAGAATCCAACTCTCCATATGTTGTTCCTGATAGTCCCCATAAGAAACAGCCTGTTTTTTATTCCACTCTCGTTCGGATGCAACAGCTCATCATCCAAGCTTATGAACTCAAAGGCAAAATTCCCCCTTTCCTGGTCAAACCACGCTCCACTAGATTGCTTAGTGCTTCATGGGCTTTTTAGCATAAGGCATCACTTTCTGGGATTTGTAAGGCTGCCAAGTAGTCTTCTGTTTCAAACCTCAGTCGGTGCCAGCTTTGAAGGTAAGGTGCTTCATGTGACTGTAGGCTTTGTTGAGCCCCCTCTGTTAACGTTTGGGTTTTTGCGGACCTGTTAGCTTTTTATTTGCTGCGTTGCCCACCCATCAGCACTGCTTTTAGACATTTGGTGTTCAGTACCTGAATACCTGTCCTGTGTCCTAATTTGGACTTACTATAAAAATTAGTTTTTTTTATATACATGAACACAGGTCCCTCTCCTCCCCCCTGTTGTTATGATCCACTTCTACTATTGCTTGCTAACAAAACTGAAGTACACTTAGACAGTGAGGGGTTTTACTTGGCTGCTCATACAGCTTTGCCAGTGTAGAATTTCATTAAGGCAACAATATAAGCCACTGTACCTGAATACTCATCCTGTGTCCCATACTGAACATCAGGAAAAGGATTTTACAGTAAGTCAAAAATGTATTTATTTTCAGGTACTTATATAGCGCCATCAACTCACGCAGCGCTTTACACATATTGTACATTCACATCAGTCCCTATTCATGCATACACATACTAGGGCCAATTTAGACAGGATTCAATTAACCTTCCAGCATGTCTTTGGAGTATGGGAGGATACCGGAGTACCTGGAGGAAACCCACCCAGGCACAGGTGCGATTTCAGGTGCGATTTGTAAATCGCATTTCGCACCTGAAGTCTCAGTGGTGTGAATCAGGGATAACTCTTCCAGGCCCTCAGATAATTTAAAGCGTATCTAAGCCCAACAGCAAAAATGTAATATATTGCAGCTTACCGGTTTTTAGATGCTATAGCTTCATTCAATTTCTTTTTTTTAATCTTTTTTTTTTTTTTTTTAAACTTAACTTCACCTTGTAATTCTGGTAAAACTCCTCCACTGTATCTTTAAAGGTAGCCATGGTTGCCACCCAGGCTAAACTTCAACTGTCTGCTTTTGTTTATCTCCAGTACATTAGGGTTGATGGGAATAGTAGTTCACACAAATGAATACCATTGTTTTATGCTTCGCCATGCCATCAGATATATAGTAGACTGAATGTGAAAAAGTATTCCCATGCATACTCCATGTCTGGGGCCTTTGACATTTTTTGTTTATGGGACCTGAGCTTAGATCATCATCATTGCAGGCATACAAATTTCAGAAATACAGAATATATGACAGGTATCATGACATTACCTGACAGGTTAAAGATAGGCTTTTATAGAGTGGTTGGATTTCATCTTTTACATTTTGTTGGCTCTTGTACAAATCACAGTATTAGGCTCTTCCAGTATTATGAAAAAATAGAATACAGCCCATACTTGTATAGAATTCAGTTGTAAATATTGCCATGTTCTTGCAAGGTGTAGTCTCCTCGATATCAGTAGGAAATTTTGTTTAGTGACATGGTTTAACATTTAATTTAGTAACTAAAGTCAAAGTGACTTAGGTAAATCAGTCATTCCCCATTTACAACTGCAGAGTGTAATTCCTTTTTATTAAGATACTACACTATGTTCCAATCAGGAACATTGCATACTTCAGCCATGCAGAGGAATCTTTGATGCTGTGTCTGCTTTTTAGATGGGCTGTCCTCTGCTGCTTGTGTCTTGCTAGGAGATGTCACAATTTAAAGACTCTTGCCTTTTTAACTTTTTGGTGAGGTATAAAACACTATTAATGGTATCTTGCTCTCTATCAGTAATTTCTGCAACTCATGGCCATTATTATAACATTGAATTGCTCTTCTGCTTCACTCTAAGATCTTATATTCATACTTAACTGAGAGTATGAATATATTCATACTTTTAATCTTTTGTATGTGCTTTCTTCCAGCGCTTCGCTTAGCACTCATAGTTGACAATTACAGTTTTAGCAGTAGCACCTATAGTTTATGTAGGGCTATGCATAGTTTTTCTGGATTGTATTTGTTGCCTATGTGCAGTGAAATGGCTTTCTACTCACTTTAGTCAATAGCAATGCCAACATTTCAAGGCCTAGGAATTACTGATTACAATAACCTGCTTCCTGCTATATCATGCTTTCTGTTAATCATATTCTGCTCTGTTATATTAAAAAATGTTTTAATGCCATGAAATTACAGTATAAAATATCAACATAAAATCATATATTGCATAAATTTGTTTTTGTGATAAATCTCAGTTCCTTGATTCACAGTATGCGAGCAGTACTTTCTTGCATATCCTGTTCATGATTTGTATTACAGCACTTTCTGCATCTTAACTTGCTTAGCTTGCAAAGTGTCATTTCCTCATCAATGTGTAAATGTTGCTCCTCCTCTTACTCCCCATGTAGAACTGCACAACATTCTGTTTGATAAAAATGAAAAAAGCATCTTTCCTTTGCTATGGTCCTGCAGAATAAACCTACTACCCTAACTTACAACCTGCATGTAGCTCTGGCTATTGCTAAACTGTGGGATCTGCATATGGGCATTGTTCCTACAATACAGGGTAATAAAATGGCTTGCTATATTATTAGTATTTTGGCACTAATAAGTTATGAGTGTGTTTTTGTTTTTTTCCCTGTCACACTTTTATGTCTACCAGCATTCACTGGAAATTAATATACTCATGTGTTCAGTTATATTTTTATAGGAAGCCCTAAGTACTGACTCTTTGCTCCGCTGGTGTCAAGAAGTGACGGCTGGGTATCGTGGAGTCCGAGTCAGAGTCAACAATTTCACCACATCATGGAGAAATGGGCTGGCTTTTTGTGCCATCCTTCACCACTTTCACCCCGAAAGCATGTAAGAAATGCTTGTTTCAATTTTTGGTAGATTCTATTTACAGTTTTAAATGATCAGACCATTTCTTATAAATAACCAAAGTTAAGAGAGTAGAGTGGAACCACCCCAAGGTAGTCATGAACACCAAAAGCATAGCAACTTTGTCAGAGAGAACCTAGCATGGTTCTCCCCTAAAAGATATAAGAATGCTGTCCACTGGATTCCATTTATAACTGAAATGTCACTTTGTATGGGGAGTCCTTTAATTTATGCTAATATTTGCATTGTTCTTTTTTTACTATAGAGAGAAAATAAGAAAAACAACACAGGAATCCAGTGTCTCCATTGGAAGATTTTCCCTCTATTACTCTTCTGGGGAAACCCAAAAATTTGTGGGTTTCTTTTACTTTCACGTTCAATGATAATGGTAAACAGGACTAATAGAGAGTGTAATCTTCCTACAGGGGCAAAGACAGCAATAAAAACCTAATAGGTGTTATAATCCCTCTCCACTCTGTCTAAAGCTAAAAAAAAGTTTTGCTTTTAGTTATACATTTTTGTTCAGTGATTTTATTTAAGACAACATATTATAAAAAATATTCAATTACAATCTCAAAAATGTGACAAGAGTAGAACACTATGCAGTCTAAAAAAAGGTAACAAAGTTCTTGCAAGCAGGGCTGCTGTTAGAAATCATGGAGCCCTGTACAGCCTAACTGATAGGGCCACCAAACCTCACCCCTGATCCCACACCCTGAGGGGAGAAAGAGGTGGGGAGAGAGATGAGAAAGGGGGGAGGTGAGAGAGGGTGGAGGGGGGGGGGGGGGGGGGGGGGAGGGGGGGGGGGGGGGGGGGGAGGGAGAGAGAGGTGGGTGAGATGAGACAGGGTGAGAGAGAGAGGGGGGGTTGAGGTGAGAATGTGGGAGGGTGAGTGTAGAGGGGGCTGAGAGAAAGGGGGTGTGAGAGAGAGGGAGGGTGAGAGAGAGAGGGGGGGTTGAGGTGATAGAGGGGGGTGAGTGAAAGAAAGGGGGTGAAAGAGGGGGGATGAGAGAGGGAGGGGATTGAAAGAGGGGGGTGAGGGAGGGTGAGAAAAAGAGGGGGTGAGAAAGGGAGGGTGAGAGAGGGGGGGGGTGAGAGAGAGAGAGGAAGGGTTAGAGAGGGGGTGAGAGAGAGAGGGAGGGCTAGAGAGGGGGGGGGGTGAGACGGGGTGAGAGAGAGTTGGGTCAGTATGTCTGCTACTCACAATTCTGGCCTCAGGCTGCTGTCTTCTAGGCTCAGGCAGTCAGGATGTAGAGCTGCTGCTGTGTTCTGTATATTTAAATCTGCTGCCTCCATAGCCCCATTCACAGGAGAGGGGGAATATCATCCTCCATCCACACACAGGACCATCTCTGGGACACAGTAGGGTGAATGGGAGATCAGGGCTGCAGAGCCGGGGCAGTGATCCCAGTGGCCAGTGATTGGAGGGGCAGGGCAGTGATCCCGGTGGCCAATGAGTGGGCCAGTGATCCCAGTGAGCAGAGGGGTGAGGCAGTGATCCCAGTGAGCGGAGGAGTGGAGCAGTGATTCCGGTGAGCAGGGGGGCAGGGCAGTGAACAGAGGCTGCTTTGCAGGAACATTTGATGTAGTATGAACAGTGCCCCACAACAGGCAGAGTGACAGAGCCGCTCATGGGGCCCCTGGACCAAATGATCAGTCCGTCCCTGTATGGAATATGTACTGGCTGGGCCCCCTTTTTTATTGATGGGCCCCAGGCCCCCTACAGGATGCCCAGTGGTACCCCCATATTGGCAGCCCTGCTTGCAAGTATCATTTGTTATAGCAGTGCGTTAATGTATACAGCAAATTTACTAACATAAAGGTATAGATAGGATATGGTGAGGAGAAAATAGGAAAGTGCCATAATATTCAATTGGAGAAGAACAACAGCTAAATCGAATGCAAATTTAATTGCCTTTAGTTATACTTTAAGTATACAGTACCCTAGTATACTTATGTAACCTTAATATACAGTTTATAAGCAAAAAACAGGTGTTACCATGCAGTAAATGAATTTAAAAAGTGGTAAAAAACATTGTGATCGTGAGAACCTGAGATGAAAGGTAACCAGAGTAAAATAACAAACTGGATATGATAATAAAGAAAATGCATATGATTTAGAAAAAACAATCCCTTGCGTTATTGTAAAATGAAACTTATATCATTAGTAATATGATGCAAAGACCAATATATTGCCATTTAATGGAACACCTTAGAGCTAAAGATTACCACAATGATTGTTAATCTGTAACATGTATAAGATTACCTAGAGATGAAATTGCTTGTTTTTGCTACAACAATAGATCTTTGGATGATTGCCGAAAAAATACATTTTGCAAAGCTCTACTTAAAAATTAGGCAATTCCCCTTACAATATTTACATTAGGTGATTAATTATATTGTCCCGTTTAACTGGTGGATATAAAATCAAGGTTTTATGCTTTTCAGCTAAGCTATACTATTATAGGTCCCCATTATAGAATTTGTGGACCATAAAATTAAATAGACTTCTGAATACTATGTAAAGCAAGAATTGATGTGGCGATAACAGTAAGACTGACCTCTGGAAACTTTATCTCTCACTTATGCTATAATGTTATCTCACTGCTTTGATAGATTTAAAACCCATTGTACTTCTCTATCAAGACATTTTTTTTTTATAATAAGATTCTGTTGCTGAGCCACTGGAGCTCAAGTTTGCAATTTTCCAGATCAGCTACTCCTAAGCTTTTCCCTGGGGGCCACACCAAGATACAGTTGCATTTGGTGCTCACCTATGCAATGCATTAAGTTAGCCATAGAGTGCTCTACAGGTGCATTACTGAGGTATACCCACCCGGTGGAACCAAGTCCTTGAATACTCCTTACGGAGTATGTCCACCCAAGGGGTGAAGCACGTCTGTATGGGGTATACCTCACTAAAGGTTCTGCATGTGTGCTTTCTGGTACCTGGTTGTTGTAACTGTTAGCTGCAGAACACCCATGTACACCCCTTGCCCCCCTTTTTTTCAGGAACCTGGGGTATGTACTGTATCTCCCCTATGGGTTAATTCTCTAAAACTTTGTCACTACACATGGATGACTGGCACTGAGACACTTTTATGAGTCATAAGTGCTTAAGTGGGTACACTATTTATTGTGACACACAGTATAATGTGACACTATTTAAACTGTCAGGCAAGATTTTTTCTAGTGGGCATGAATGGCAACACAAATGGCTATTTTTTTTTTTACACCGGTGTGGGGAATAATCATTGGAAAATTGAAGTGATCTAATGAAGCAGTGATCATTGAAGAGACGTATCTGGAGGACCATTGCACATTATGGATGAACTGATTTCACATTATTTACACAGCAATTTATTTACTATTAATTATTAATTTATGACTTTAGATTATTTATTTGTGGCTCTACATATGAGTGTATGTTGTGTTATACACTGGTTTATGTTTAGAGATTATGTACAAACAGTAAGGTCGTTTCCAGCACTGTTTGACTTCTAGCAGCAGCACAACACTAGTAAATGTTTTTACAAGTGGCTTATGCACATATGTAGCTTTTGTCTGCCTCTCTTGCTATCTGCCTGCACAAGATGCAATGCCGTCTCCACACGAGGGTCCATTGTCAGTTGTCCTCCTTGCTACTTATGGTGACTTGGTCATAGAAGATCACTTATTCCCTCATGGTTTCTGCAGCTGGGCATCCATGAGAAGCCCTATTGGCCTAGCGCACTTTCCACACTAGTAATATGTTGGCTGTTAGCACAAGAGCATTAATTCTTTGGGTCTTACCTTTTCAGGATCCACTACCATCTCCAGGGTGGCTTGTAGTGTCCCTTTCCTTCAATCTGGACTGCAGTTCTGTGCTTAAGCCTATCTATTCCTTAGAGTCTTCCTTACCATCCAGAGTAACACCCTCCTCTGTCTTTCGAGGAAGCATTTTCTGTGACTATGTCAGAGTTTAGTCAAAACAATCACTGGCATGATTTCTTACTCATTATACAGGGGCCGCAGGCATTTGCATATGCATTCTTCTTCTGAATCCTGAATCTATCTATGAGGCTCTTACTTCCACACAGCTCAAGATGAGAAAAAAAGCTCACTTTTTCATGCATGAGGAAGTTTTTGTCCTCTGAAGTCATGTTAAATGTTACCATTTTAGCACCCATGTATGCAGTACACAAATGCCCTCAGCTGAAGCAAAATGCGTCTGTATTTTTTAAGGTTGCCAGTCTCAGCTTCCTTATTATTTGCCCAACAGATTAAGCCTTTCCAGTACATATGATACTACAATTGGTATGTAAGGTGAATGGACCTCTCCAGAAAAGCTATATTTCCCCTCCTAAGCATTTTGCCCAGCAATACCATATTAAGGAGACATTTGTTCAGAAGTGAGCCCTCCCTGTGATGGATCCAGCCCCTTTATACCTCAAACATACCTTTGACTGTCCCTGTCAAGGACATCCCATTGTTTAAGGACCCAGTGGACAAAGGACACACAATCCTTTCCAAGTATCTCCTCTCCTAGCAAGCCATGCTCTGATACCTGTTTTTGCAATTATATCCATTTGACAAAATTGGGATTTGGACCAAGGATATGTGTTAGTCCCTCAAAGCATTCTTAAATGATCCTTTGGTTTTGCATCTATTGGAGATATTAGGAATAGTCCATAGGAATAGTCCAAGATAATGTTAAGTGACGGTAAACAAGTCATATAAATATAGCAAATGCAATTTGAATGCATAGCCATTCCCCCTTAATCGGGGCTCAACACAGGATAAAACTTGGATGGACTCAGAAAACAGTGACTTAACAGATTTATGGTATAAACACAGATCTTTAGACTAGAGGAGTAACAATGTGTCACATACCTGGTGAAGATCAGGCTCACATGGAGGCTACTCGTGCACCTTTTGTCCAACACCCTTGGAAGTGGTGATAGGAGATGGGGATCATAGAGTGGCACAAGGGCAGATGTTGC